AATTTGTGGAAGCCTCTATACAACAATGATTGTTTCAACAGTAGGCTAGAGACAACGTGGAATGCCAAATACCATTTGGACAGAACGAATAAATAATAGAGCTGTTTGCAGATAACTGGAAAACAAAATAGATAGGTAGAGATAGAGAATGCTGGTTAAGGGGACAAAAGATCTACTAAGGTATCTTTTAGGTTTGGCGTACAATAGGCCTTCATGGCCGTAGTACACTCTTGTCGAAAAAAAAAAAAAAAAAGGTATCTAAAGTCGGTACAAATACAATACACGAACACCAACCATGCTTTCCTACCTTTTAGTTGTCAAGAAGCAAAATTAAAATTATTTTATCAGGACCTAAGATATATTTAGGTAGCAAACCGAATCAGCTGGTATAATCTTGAGGTATTTTATTGTAAATGGCGTGTCTTCTTTACTGTTGTAGAATTAAATTTTCAACGCCTTATATTTTTTAACGAAAATTGAGCTGAAAATAGCACCTGTTTGTTTGTTATTATCTTGGCTTATTAATGTTTTTTCATTGATATTCCATTTGAAAGTCTTGAGAATTTAATCGGCAATTAATTGTAACATGTGGAGCCAATGGGAGACGGATGATTTTTTCCGAAGGCAGGCTATTAGCCGAGGTGGCGGTGCCTTTGAAGTTGCCTTGATCCTCCTGATTGTGACACACTTCTTCGGGACAATACCCTCGTTGTCATCAGGTCGTTTGTGATACCGCCCACTTATCTGTCCCTTAATATATATCTATTTATATCCATCTACTTTATTACTAGTTCTCAAGTGGGCTTACCTAGTGTGCTCTCTTCCTAACGCTAATATTGGATTCCTTATTATTATATAAATCGTGTGATTTGAAGGTGGCCAATGCCGGATTTGAAACATTTGTAGAATTTAACCACAAAATGTATCGCATTGGACATAATTTCGAGGGCAAATCAATACACGGGATTTTATTTTACTTTGAAATTTACTTATTGAAAAACAAAATGAAATTTTTCCATTTTTTAAACATTGTTTCCTACTTGAGAAATAGATTTTTCCCTGTGTGAAAGAAGTTTTTTTATCGCAGCATCATAAAATGAAGTAGGTTGCGTCAAAAGCTCTAATCCATTTTCACCCTCATCATCAAGTCATTTTCCTCCTAGAGTGAGTTTCTTCAAGGGATCCAAGCAGAGATAGAAATCGCATGGCGATATCTAGAATGTAATGAGTATGATAAAGTTGGTTCAAGTACATTTTCTTTAGATTAGAGTTGTTAGTACTGGAGTATGGAGCCTGGCATTGTCGTGGGGGGAATGTCTCTCGACTCGTTGGTATCGTCGGTGATGTGTATCCCTCGTTCTACAGCTTGCAGTAGTGAGCAGCATTGATTTCTTTATGCTTGTTTTTGTTGCAAAAAATCAATGAGGAAAATGACTCCTCAGACAACGGATAAAAAAGAACCTTACCAGATAACAGTCGAGTTTAGACTTTCTCCAGGGCCTCCTGCCCTTTCCTTGATAACCCCATACTGGCTTGTTTGTATTCGGCTCTAAAGTGGTAGACCAAGGTTTCGTTACAGGTTACGATTCGATTCAAAAATGCATTACCTTCTTTTGCAAATCTTTGCGTAAGCCTCTGAGAGCCCTCCAAACGTCTCGACTTTTTCGCCCAAATCGCTAGGAGTCCATCTGGCCCAAAGTTTTCGGAACTGTTGGTTGTTTGTGATGGTCACTAGGCAGCTTCCATAACTTATTCCAACATGTTTGCGATTTCTTATATTCCCTCCCTTCGATCATCTTCAAGAATTTTTTTTATCATGGACCGAGGTCTGCGAATGTGTTCCTGATTTTCTACCTGTTTTCGGCATCCTTGAACTCTTTACACCATGTTAACTCACGTGTTCTTGACCATATTTGATCACTGAACTGTGCTGCCAATCTCTGAAAAATTTCCGTAGCTCTACGTGCAAGATATTTTATAATACAACGTTACTGATGAAGTGGTTAGAAGGCTCTCCTAATGGTAATCATCCGGCCAGCCAAATGTCTTTAAATTTATTATCAAACATTTTTATTGTATAAATCGTGTCCTGCCGTCTCTAAGATGGATGCGAATATCTTGTTGAATGAATAATGCAGTCAGGAAACATCGATTAAAAATTATTCTCTTAAATGCATATTCGCTCTTTGAAAAGAGATCCCTACCAAATGCTTTCCTTAACACGGAAGCTCCTTACCCCTCGAATCCTCTAGTGATCCTATTTATTTGTAATTTGATAAAGGAGTGATAAATGGCAATATGTGTATCTAATATCTATACATTTATTTCTAAATATATTTGTTGATATTACCTCTGAATCGTTCAGAGAATTTAATATATCTTGAGTTGTACAAGGATGGGATCTCCACTGGTTACACCTACCATTATTACATGCTCACTTCATATGTTGATTGAAAGTAGTGGACAATAGATTAGAATAATACACTATGTATGAATTTATTAATTTTTTGTAAATAATTGCTATTAAAGTTAGTTTTGTTATTATAATTTTGTTACTTTCTGAAAAATGTTTAACTGCTCTATTTCAGATTTTTCGAAGTTGTCGACTATTACCTGGACTCACACAAAAATGATAGTAAGTACAATCCTGAATATATCTGTTTTTATTGTGATTATTAATTAATATCCTGTTTTACATATCCTCTTGAATGCTTCTCACACATGATCTATTTAGGGGTTAACAAGAAAGAGGGCAATATCAATAATGGTTTGGGAGGGGGGATGAGTTAAGAAGGAAGGCCCCTAGTTGACTAATGACCCTACAAATATTTCCGACTCTTCATAAATTAATTAACACCTAATTCCCGGAGGAGCGGTGTCAGATTGGGCAAGAAGCAATTATAAGCTGTAGATTTCAGGGACGGGTTTGTTAAATCGTTCTGTCTTCCCCCCTTCTATATTATCCCTTCTAACTGATATTCTGACAAGTTATAATTGTCTGTTTGGTCGAAGGATAAAGTTATGGAACGAAAGCGAGGAGTTGTTTAATTCTCACTTGGGAAGAATGTATTCGGTTGCCGAAACGTGGAGCATTAATGAACCACTTCGAAATACCATTAATTGGAATATAAAGAATGCTCCATGTTAATTGACTGCTCTTAATTATCTAAAGGTACCTCGTGCCGTTTATAACTCCTGCGATGGTTGAATGAGTTTATTGCAATTCGGATCTTATCCGTTTCTTTTCATCTCTTCTTCGTTATTATTCAATTAAATCCTTTAAAAAATATAATAGAGTCTATTAAAATGTATTGGTTTTGCAGTTAATTTTAAAAAAAAATTGCGTTGTATTAAAAATTGTATGCCTTTAGAAAAGTGAATAGATACTTTACTTATGTTAGATAACATTTTTTTATTTCATTAAAGACCTAGTTGATTTTTTTTTCGCCTTAACAAACCATCTCTGCCCATCTTGGGCTTTTTCATTCCAGTTTTCTGCGTGTAACTCGATTGCATCTTTGTTGAGTCGATATATTTATTTGTACTGGTTTTTGTCCTTTCATCTTACATCTTAACTTCCGCGTCTCCAAATGAGATATTGATTGGTCTGTTTCTGTAAGCAGCTGTTTATTGTTCTTTCTTCTCCATTTGTTTGTACTCTGATCCCGATTATCATGCCGAAGATTTTTCTCTCAAATCTTTCAATACCTGTCCAGGTTTCACAGCCATATATTAAAACTGGCTTTATCATATCATTGTACTCCCTTAATTTGTGATTTTATTAGGACTCGACATTTAGGGTAATTTTTTCACACCTTTGTCTATCTCACCAACTTACCGAGAACTCCCATTTCAGTCATAATTATACAAAGACAGTTCCCGTCCACAGAATTATGTTGTAATTTGGTTAAGTTGGTGGGAAGTAGGGTGCTTCACCTAATTCATAGACTTAGATATTTGTTTTTTAAGTTGTTGTATTTTATTAATACATTTTTATTGCCTCTCTTAAGGACAAGATTAAATATTAATATTCGTCAATTTCACAAGCAGTTTATTTAAGTTGATATGAAACTACTTTTTTTTTGCGAAGTTTTTTTTTAAAAATTATTTAACACATTTTTTTCATTTTCGATTTAAATTAGTTTATGAGTAATTTCGATTTTTTTTTTTTTTGTATTCGATTGTCGATGACTTACTTCACTCTTTTAATCATGAATTGGTGTACTGATATAAGACACCTCTAATATTATGCTTGTTCAAGCTATTTTTAATTTTAATCAATACATTTAAAATAATATTGTTTTTATATTTGTTTAGACTCTCTTATTGGTGTTCACTGCACCCATGGAGTAAACCGCACAGGTTATATGCTTTGCAGGTAAATATGGAAACTTTAGTATGAATTAAGTAGTGATAAGTATTATATTTACTTTGTCTAATATTTGACGGCCCACTATAATAAGCGGTAAGTTACGAATATACTTATATCTCCCATTGGTTGTTAAGTTAATATTATTATTAGTAAAAAAAAAAAAAAAATTGCGTTGATTTTATACTTCGTTTATTACTGATAATTGATAATAATTTAATCGTTAATATGATCTTTGGTTTTAGGTCAGATATATTTACTTATTATATGATATAATATAATATTATAATGTGTGAATTTATCTGAAACTAAAAATATTTTAAGCTTTTTGTGGTTTGTAATTGTCAATTAAACTTGTTCCAAGCACTATATTTTTTTTTATTATTATTTTATATATTGTATCCAACCTTTAGGTCAGAAGTAATATTTTCTTTTTGTAAGATTTTGTTATTCTTAAGGCCTAGTCCGAGAATAAAGTTATTTTCTTCTTACATTAAGCGGCAAAATTAATCTGTGAAAGATGTGACTAACTATTGTGAATTTTCCAGTTTTTGCGCCTGTTACGTCTACAATTATTCTATTATAATTATAATTTATTCTAGGGATTCATGATAATTTATTTTCCATTCAGGTATCTGATTCAGAGGTTGGGGTACTCCTTTAACGAGGCTGTTGAAGGTAAGTTTAATTAATCTTTCAAAATATTTTTTTGATTCGAAAGAAGGATTATGTTATGCGTAAGTTTTATCCATATTGAGTAGGCACCAACCTACAGGTTGTAGTAAGCACTAACTTACAAGTGCTTGGTTTATATTTAGGGGTTATCTTTTTCATTAATATATTGGTATCGTGATATTTTTAGTATCACCTGTAACAATCGATGACTTGAGATTTGGGTTTTTTTTAGTTTGTTGCAAAGCGTATAATAATTTTGAAGGCAAACTGTAAAAAGAAATCTAAAGGTATAAAATAAGTAAAACTATTTTTTTTTTCAAACCGTGATCTACCGAAGTAATTATTTTCAACGATAATACTTTTAATGTATGAAGTAACGTCATTTATTTATTTTTGACTTCAGGGTCATTCATTAAATAAACAGACAAATATATTTAATGAAACCGGAGTTTGATTCAGTTCATTCAATCTTCTGTTAGTGTTAGTTTGTGCCCCCCTCTGACCAGTTAAAAAAATTCGATTTTATTTGATCAAGCTTAACCACATGTGCGACGGGCTTGTTCTAAGAAATGACTCTGGACGTACAGCGTTATGTAATCCAAATTTAATTTTCAGTATGTTTACAACCAATAGAAATATTGTAAAATAAACAAACTGAATTGCATGAACAAATCAAGTTATACGCATCGGAAATAATGTGGGAGTGCCCATGGTTTGCTCCTCTGTTATTCATAGGAAGAAAAGAACTACGCGTTGCACCAATTGCCTATTCTACTCAAGCCTTATTCCTAAAAAATTCTAACCCGTGCTGAAGAGGAAACCGTCATGACTCGTGCCATCATCGTCCGTCCCTCCGTAGTGGCAGAGGAAAGACGTGATCATTTATACAGACAACGCTGAATCTCGGACAGCACAATTGGCTCTGTAAAAATGTTTTGGGAGCTCCTTTCTATAGTCCTAATCTTCGGATTTGTGTTAGCTTGGGCCAATGAAAAGCATAGCATTAAATTAAATGACAAACGAAAAGGTCGAAAGAATTATTCTCCCAGAGGATAGCAAAACCTGCATGCAAATATGAAACTTGCATACTATCGAAATTAAGTGGGAGAATAAACAAAAGATCATAGTAATTTAGTTAACAGTTTTGTCTGTTTAATTATTGAATGAACCTCATATTAAATCAAATGAACTCCTATTTAATTTTGTGATAATAGTACTGAAATGCTATGTGATTTTGAAGTACAAATCACGTAGGAATTAACTTTGTAGTATCCCAAATGATTTTGACATGATATGCTTTCTCACTTATGATGAAGGAGGAGAAATGAAATAGTCCATATAATATTTCCTTTCATTCATTCCAACCTTCCAACTGGCTTGTCTAGTCATTCTTGTCATCATAGAAGCAAATGGAGAATTGTCACCAACGATGGAACTACTTCCACTAGTTGATGTGAAGTTGGAATTGCCATCGCTTCGAATAACCCTAAAGCATTTCTAGGGACAGTGGTAAAGTAATTAAAGCATTTTTAGAGTGGCTGAGAATAACAGCAAAGAACTTTCAGAAAAAAACTGCAGTTGCGTTAGGCGGAGTTTTTTGCAATTTCGTAGAAGAATGCATAAAGACTTCAACCGTTTTTAAAAAGGATTAAATAAGCATTCTTGAGGTTCCCCTTAATCATATGAACTCTCAGTACAAAAGTGACCATTCTAATTGACTGTTAGGATTGGAAGAGTTACTAACACTGTGTCAAGGTGTAAGGCAGGCTTCCCCTTACTACTAGCAGATTCATTTTAGTTACACCTCTTCACCTTAATAAATAATTTATATCCACACTTTTTTTTTAAAAATTCCTATTGTGGTTTTTTTCCTTTATTAGTAGTTTATATTTGTATGCCTTTGCATATATATGTATATATTATATTTTTTTATGACGTTGGTAATATTTGTTTACAGCTGTAGGTAGAGCAAGAGGTCATTTGATAGAACGATCTCCTTATCTTGCAAGTCTTGAAGAAATCAAAGAATTACAGCCAAAGAGATCTGATATCATGAGGCCAAATGGATCAAAACCTAAGCCGGGAAAGAAAGAAGAAGTAGTGCCGAAGAAAGATGAACCTCGGCGCAACATGGGTAAGGATGGTTTCAGAGGAGATTATCGCACTTCACCAGGAAGGGTACCGATGGTACCTGGTAGACCTACTCACAGGGTTCGTTCTAGAACCCCACCGCTTCAGCAACACCCAAGAGGTCGCGATTCTCCTGTTCCGATGGGGGGCAGAACTTCGCCAATCCAGGCTATTAGAAGTAGACGATCTCCGCCGCATTATGATAGACCACTGACAGGCCCACCTAGGGTTTTGCAACAATCTGTTATGAGAGGAGATCGTATGATTCCTTTAATGCCTCATGGTCGGACTCCGCCTCCTCAGCCACGTGGACGGACACCGCCTCACTCATTCCGCACCCGAACACCTCCTCCTCCATCCTTACATCTACCACATCATTCCCCTTCAGGGCATATGCGCGGGCGGTCACCACCATCGATGATGAGGAGCAGAACATCACCAACCATGATCCGTAGATCTCCTCCACGTCCTCAAGGTCGAGGTCGGTCTCCACCGCCGGAGTTGATGAACCGTAGGCCTCCTCTCCCTTCGAGAGGGCGCTCACCACCATCTCACATGAGAGCTAGGTCACCCCCAATCATACGTGGTGGTTCACCTCCGGTACATATACGTAGCAGATCTCCACCTGGAAGAGGAATACGAAGAAGGACTCCTACCCATTATGGTCGTGTTCCATCCCCTGGTCATGATCATATGCCCGTCTCAGTACCGCCTTATCCTCCTGGCCATGGCCATATATCGCGGAGAGAACAAATACCTCATGGAAGTGGAAGATCTCAGCCTCAAGGCCGGGGTCGTTCTTCGCCAAGAAGAGAGAGAACGCCTCCTCCTATTCAGTCTTCTAGACGACCATCTTCTCCTGATTATCGAAGAAACGAACCACCTCCGGATCGTCATTACTCTAGTAGGCCGGGTTACGAAGACGGAGGTAGAAGAGGACATGAAGAATCAACTCGTGATTATAGCGACAGATTCCATCCGAGCAACCATTACAGTAATGAAAGGAGTTATGGCGCTTCTGGCGAGTATTATCCAGAACGATATGAAAAAATACGGCGAGAAAGAAGTTTATCACCTCGTCGTAACTTTACCAATTATCCTTACCAAAGAGATGAATTGCCGGTGAGGTCGGAATATTCCCCTCCGAGAGAAACAAAAAGGAGGCGGAAAACACCACCCGCAGCTGAAGTGAGAGAGAAAATTAGAAGATCCACTCCCCCATCCGGCTATATGAACAGCAGAGATGGCAGGGAAGGCTTTAAGAAAGAGAAAAGAGAATACCCCTCAGCTCCATGGGATATCAAAGAGAAAGATCCTGACTGTCGCGAAATTCTGAACGAAAAGAGGTCTATGAGGGATGTGTATCCGGATTCTAATCATGGGGCTTACACTGATGCCCCTAAATACGCTCCCATAAATGCAGATCTTAGGGAAGCTCTTGAAGAAGAGAAAAGACGTAGGCATGTGCACAGTGATTCAGCTGGATACCACGGTCCAGATATCCCTCTGGAAGACAGAAATGTAATGCATCAAGGGTATTCTTCTCATGAATACCCATATAGATCGGAAAGTGATATGGGGAGAGGACGATCTCGACAAGACTATCCCGGGGGTTCCTCCAACCACGAGTCGGGTGTTCGGCCTGACGGCCAGAGGCACCACGGCTACCAGGACTCAGCTGAGTATCCCGAACCGAAGCATCATCGCTCACAGGGAGAATACGTCAAGTCGCGGGATGATGACTTCAGGAAGGCTAGAGGGCGGAGGACTAAGCGGGTGTTCGATCGGCTGTCGAGGGGTGGCCGCGGGGGGAGGGGAGGTGGCTCCTGGACCTAATGTTTGTTCATTCATATCTATGTACCATATCAGGGGGCTATTTGTCTTGCATTATCTTTATACAGTGTTTATTTAATTTTTAATGTTCATATTTCTTTGTAGTTTAATTCTTATGAAATAAAGTTTATTCACAACTTTTTATGACCTTGAATAACTGTTTTTTTTTTTTTACGTCCTTTATGTGTACCTTGTTATTTGTGTAGTTATCCAGAAGGAAGGTAGCACGATATACTACAATTATATTTGCATGAGTTACAGATGTTCACAAGAAAGTTGTTAAAAATTAGAAGAAGAAATTGAAAATGAATAAACAGAAGGAATAAAGTAAATTTTGAGCTTCAGCTATTTCTCTTTACGTAATAAATAGAAGAAAGCGGAAAGAATGCTGCAACAGTGATGAAATAAATAAAATTTAAATTTCAAATATTTCTATTTGTGCTTCTTAAAATCGAAAATATAATTATATATTAAAGAACAGTCAAGCCTACCTTATAATTCGTTTTTAATTTGTTTTCTATGTTCAGTGTATAACAAAGGAAATAATTATGTCTTCATGCGTCATTTCACCGACTTGAATTTTTAAAATCACCACATTGTTCTTCGTGAAGTTAATGGAAGAACATTGGTCCAAGAACTGAACAATCAAGTCCTAATGAAATCCTGCTCCTCAGACCTTTTAAATAAATTGAATTTAATTTTTTTTCATTTCTAGGAGGATGCTTGATATCTTTAACTGGAGGATAAATCCAGTGAATGAAATATTGAAGTATCAGAAAGTGCATTTATTTCTTACTGTATAAACTTATCAGCAATGGTTATAATTGAGTTGTGGGTAAAAGTTGATGTTTGGTATTTGCTACGTATTTTTTCTTTATTTTTCATATATCAAGAAATGAAGTATACTTCTAGTTCTTGAGAAAAACATAATACGACAATGCTTGTAGCTTGAGTAATTGTTCGTTGTTGTTTTAAAGACAAAGATCAGATGTGTTTAAAGTAGATTTTAGAATTTCGTACACTGAATGCTATTGCCAATGGATCAAGTTTTCAGCGTGACTTATTTCAAGAAAACCTATTAAGCATATTAAGGAGTTATCAAAGTAATATAGTTTTAGCAACAATAAGGGTATCATTGTTGGACAACGCAACTGAAAAAAATCGTATCGAAAAATAACTTCATCTCTGGGAGAGGAGGCAATTCTCCCATCTGAGGAAATCAGCGCTACTTTAGAAGAAGGTATTTTAGTTTATTTTTAGTTCAACCAAAACTCAACCTATGGGACGGGGTGGCCGACTGAGGTAATGTGTGTGCACAGCACCCAGATAACTGAAATTGTGATAGATTACGAGTTCGCGTTGCAGTGCCAGAGGGGATTTTAAATTCCCCGCCCTCACCTCCCGGCCCGAGAAAACCCCGTATAGCCTAAAAGGTGAAATAGGGAAGAACAAAAAACACTTAGCTTATATTATAATTTTTATAGAGATAATCTATGTAGCACTTAGTACTTTTTGTTGGATTATATTTATTTTTAAGAACTAAGTAATTAATTGTCTTAATTAAGTATTTTTCAATTAATTTTTAAATGTAATGAATAAAGTTTTATCATGTTTACTATTACTGTTCAGTAAAAAAATCTGTATTTTCTTTTCATGTCCTGTTTCCATTTTTTAAGTTTATTGAGATTCCTAGTGTTATTTAATACTTTTAAGTACCAGCTTAGATTTGTAGGTACTTCTTGATTGATCATAAAATTTCTTCTGATGTATGGAAACTTTAAAAAAAAACGAAGATTGGAGTTCATATATAGTTAGGAATATAAAGTTGTGGTTTAACATGACTACTTTCTTTATCGATTGAAAGCCCTGAAAATTATCTGCTCAAACTATTAAATTCTGGTTAAAAATGGAGGAAGAAAAGTGGTTTATAAGATTGCAGTGCATATATTGTCCGCCATTCCGTAAGATTCATTTCTGTTGATTACAGGATTCATGCCACAATACTGTGTTTTGATAAACTCACCTGCTAAAATTCATCGAATTGACTTGGTATATGCTCCAATCAGTCTTTCTTAAGTCACGAGAAGCTTGATGAATTTCTTATATTACTAAAAATTTCGTTGACCAAAAGAACTTCAGTGCAGTTCGACAATTCTGATCTTCAAGCTGCGTTTACTACATGAAGGGATTTTAAGACATTGCAGAGATTTGAGAACTGCCATAAAATATTTATATTTACAGTATTTCTAGAAGTAATAACGTCCCTTAGTTTTTTTTGGGAAATTCAAGTACACCTTTAATATCATTAAAAATAAATTTATATAAATGAAACTTTTCCAAATGAAGTTAAGCTGAAGGTGGCACCTGGAATCTTGGAGAAATTGTTTCTGGATTTGGGCGCTTCCTCTACCTTTCAACTAAGGCGCCAAATGTTGAGGTTTTTATTTTATACTAGTGCTTGACCTGCGAACAAAGTAACATAGAAAGAAACAAAGTAAGTACAAACAAATACAGTTACACCGGAAACAGAATTTTTTTCATTACTCAGAAATACACAACTCCCGCCGAATCGTCGGTTGAAAATTGAAACCAACTATAACAAATCTTGAAGGCTACATCTACTCTTTGCATCCAGATCATTTCCTAGTAAATCAGCATGGTATGTGTACAAAGGTTATTTGTATTCTCATCGAGTTCTTGATGTAATCTATATTTGGAGTAAGCTGCCATCATGCCAGGAGTCAAATCTTGGTATGTGGTACAAGTAAGTAATTTATGTCTTCTAATCATCTTTGTCTCTGGTATAAAACATATTATACACAGAGTTCTACTGAACCTGCTCTCCATTGATTTAAAAAAAAAACAATAATTATTTTAGCTGTGGGAACATCAGTTAAAAATTAATTATTACTTTTTCCTCTATCTGCTGCCCATGTTTCCCGGTATCTAGAATGTCATTACGATGCAAAAATTTAGTGGAAATCTCTTCGCCACTTGGTTTCATCTCTTCCATCCAGATTTTTTTCTAAACCTTACTCCCACTTCATTGCTATCTTCTATGGATTATTAATTTATGAATTCCTCTGGCAAACCATTAGTTCCACTTAAAATCCTTTCTTCATCTCTAAACAGTGAAACCAAAACCTGAATTCCACTTTTATTCATGGCGTTTTGATCCTTTCCAAATAAATCAGCACTAAGTACCTCACTCCACAGCCTTACAAGAGTTCCGCTTTTCCTTATTTTGTTTTCAATTATGTCTATAGTCAATAGATTTTCGCTTTTGTACAATCACCATTCTGATTTTTTTTCTATTTGGTATTCCTTCCTTTTTCCATAATAAAATACTATCTTCCTGTGCATCTAATGTTCTCCGCTACAAGTTACATCTCTTCGAAATAATCATTAGGCGTACTTGCAATTCTACAAGACTCTCGTTCATAATTACAAAACAGGTAATTAGGATCATCTTGAAGAAATCAGTCAACTGCAGCATTGATCAGATTGACGTGTGTCTGAACTAATTGTTTCATTGGAAATCACTATGCTGCTAATCGCAGATCCTGTATCTGTACTTACAGATGAAAATTCTTCATGTCAAGGAATCGACAAGGTTTGGGGGTTGCATGGAAGTACCTGTCCAAAACTTAGAGTTGATGGAATACCGATTTTCAGTTATAATCTCTTGGAAACTATTCTCTTATTCTATACATGCCGCAGCTTATGTTCGTCGCCTTGAGAACACTGATTTGATAAAGCTTTTACAAATAACAGCAAAAAAACAAAAAAACATTGAAATAATAATTGGAACACAAATAGACTCTTTCTTTTGCCAGCTTCTTGAAGAAAGACTTAGGTGTCTTATTTAATAATAATGCTTTTATGCTTGTTATTTTGAAGGGTTTATCTTTTATTTTTCGATGGTACAATCTCATCCGGTGTTCAATGTTTAAACAGATTCTTAAAGGTCGAATTGCAGTTAAGCTAAGAATGTTCGGCGAGAAAATACTTTATGTGATTGATGTCTACTTCTGTTGAGCTGCTTCCGGAAACCCATCCAATTGAGATTTTACTACATGGGCACCGACTACAATCGGCCTATATTAGAATTTAGACTCTACCTACTATTGCTTCAAAAAAGCTCACATACCTGTTACTATTTAACTATGCAATGAATTTTATACTTGCTCCTCCACTCATCGTGGGAGTGAACTCTACTGCCTATTAGTTTTGTTGGGGCTGTCAGCTCTTATTGCAAGATCAGGATACCAATGACACGGTTCACAATGTAATTATGAGTCTAAATTAATGAATCGGGGAGGGGAGAGGGAGAAGAATTGTCTTTACAAGAGGAGTTTGGTTTATTTTTAAGATCCTCGATAAAGAATGATGAGGCTCTATTTCATTTTCGATTGGAAGAACCCACAGCTTTACTACAGCTGTCATCATCATGGAAAGTAAATTATTATGATAACTTTTATAAGTGATATAAATAGTAAGGCAATGCAGTTGGGTGAATTTGATAATCTACTCAGTTGAAATCCAAATTTCGTCACCAACAGTAAACTAGCACGATTAACTTCTAGACGCCACAGTGTGCAGTTCTATAGATTGTATAGACAGAAAATTCTTTCAAGTCAGAATCTCACAAGGAAAAAGAAAAAATATCTTCTAAATGCTTTAGGAACTTCTAGTGCGTCGAAATAATTAATTTAACAAATAATAATATAAAATCAGTTGGAAGATATATATGTGTATTCAATTATTTGCTACCATTTTCAGCTCTCATTTCGCCAGCAGTTGAATTTGAATGTACTATTTCTTCGGTACATCAGTGTGCAGGAAGCGAAAAAATTGCCAGGTCCGGACATATCTACGCCATCGATAATATTTTATAATCAGGATAATTGGTGTTTTAACAGAAGATGATTCTAATTCTTCGGGAGATTATCTTGGCCAAAAAAAAAATATCCACGTCAAATTTGGCCTATAAAGCATAGTGTACAAAAAATGGAACGTTTATAAAAATCCTTTACAGTCTAAGCCTACTGAAAAACTAGTTTTATTATGAACTTGTTATACACTAAGGAAATTTGGGATGGCGTGGGGGGAAGGGGAAGGGGAGAGAGGAGAATAAATAAAAGGTTGACTGAAAAGCTTAAATCTTCCTTACCAGCACAGCTCGTAAGGCCACTTATCTTGAAGGGATTATGGTAAGCGAAAAATTAACAATTTTTCAATTAGAAATTGAACATGTTTATTTATAGTTCTTCTGTAAATTACTTCAACGTAAGTTTTTATTAATTTTCTAAAAAATAGACTGCCAATAACATAGTTATGTCACAGTCCGTATATGGACCATTGAATCAAATAAATATAGTTTCATAGCATATTATTAGTGCATAATACAAAAAATAAAAAATAATGCAAACGTGGTTTTCTGTTCCAAAAGTCTATCACTAATGTTAATGCAAAAGGTCGTATGTAAAAATTCATTTTTTTTTTGTTTTAAGAAACATAAAAACCGATTATATCTGTATAATTTCATATTTTATTTACCTCTACTATTTTCCTATTTAGCTGACTATAATATTTCACCTTTAGAGCAAAGAGAATAAACATGTAAAATTGTTACTTAAGAAAAAAGGTCGTGTTGTTGCACTAACAGTAGCGATATGTCGTCGGTTTATTGCAAAAAGTCTCTTAAGTGTATTTTTGGTGTAGATTAACTTTCAAATATATTTTTGTGGATTTCGACTTTTATACATCAAATATAGTTACAAAAAAAGTACTCTTTTCTCATTTTACGAAGAGAAAATTCTTCAAAGTTCTTAATTATTTAAGGTTGTGAAATGTCACTTGATGATTTTTTTTTTCAATAAACCGACGATAGGCAGTATTTATACAAAAAAATAATATTGTTTTTTCTGTTATCGTGTTTGTTATAATGCTAAACATAGGTTTTTAAATTTCAATAACATCAATTGTTGATGTAGGTTTTCGATTAACACAACATGACAATTAACACAGTAATTGCCAAGACATTCTATCAATCATAAATCTGTAGTCACTTTTGATTTTCATCAAAGTATTTAGTATTGTAAAAAATAATGTACATTAAATCATTTTGATTTTGGTTACACTGTTAGAAATCCGAAAATTAATGATTTTGGCTTTACTAAGTTTAGCATTATGTCGGCAGAGCTAATTTTTTACCTCATTATTTTATAACACCTTTGACAACCAAGGAACTCGTTGTTGAACAATAAATAGGTTGTATAAAAAAAAATTACCGTTTTTCAACCAAATATTTGTATTATTATTTCTTTGATATAAAATACGATTAATACTAAAAGTATAGTCCATTTTTATATACCGTCATTAGCCAATTGTTCGATCCCACGCTGATACCATACTTTGGAATGGCTGTCAAAATTCTTAGACCGCAATTTCAACTTCCGCAAAATTCAAATTTTGTCTCTTGAAGAAAATGGGCTATGGATCAAAGCAAGTAATCCGGACCACTCTACTTCTCTTTTATACCTTCCTCATGGAGAATAGATGGTGACTAACAGTATCTTTCGACACACCACACTCCTTTGCAAGTTCCCAAGTGGCGGATTTGACTCAACAGCTT